AGTAGCAACAAAAATAATTTTATGGTTGGGGGTCACCACAACATGAGGAACTGTATTAAGGGGTCGCGGCATTAGGAAGGTTGAGAACCGCTGTTAAAGGCTTTTTTTTCATACCAGAAAGTTGCATTTAGATATCCAGTTGATTTCCGTCTGCTGTGCATGTAGTGCAATTACAGCATTGGTGGCACTTGCCTGGTAACTGTTATGAAGATAAATTAATTGGAAATGGCATTTCTGGAGAGCAGTAATTATACAGTTGATGCCTATATGTAGTTATTTTTCTTGTGGCTAATCCGTTCCCCTAGCCTTAGTAGAGCTGACTTCAGAGGACTGTGACTACATGCTGATGTGGGACTGTGGCTGTTTTGCATTGTAAAAATTGCTTCTTTAAAGGCTTTGAAAACCTTTAAGATGAAGGGTGTTCGTTTTTTTAAAAAATTACCATACTAAATGATAATAAAGGTACAAGAAAACGGGCACTCTCATATTTTTCTAGATGGTGATTTAGCAGTAATATAGCCAACCTTGATATTTATATTTTCTGACACACTTGGAGGGCATTTCTTGTAAAGAAATAATCAGAGATGTTACATCTCTGTGAAGTCGTCAATTACCCTGTTGTTTATTTTGAAAACTTGGATAAAACTGAAATGTCCTTAGTGTTCTACTGGTTAATTCTTTTACTGACTATCTGTAGGATAAAATACCATGAAGGCATTAGAATTTGCTGTTTGATAGTTTCCACAGTTAAAATATTTGAAAACCATTGTTAATGAAGACTACTAAATGACATAAAAAAATATTCAGGCTTTATTCATTGAAAATAGCAAATTCAAAATGGTATATTTTATATAGTCCTGAGGTATGTATACAGACAAAAAACCAGCTAGGGGGATGAATACCAGATGGTTATTTCTGTAATAGTCATTTCTGGTCGATTTATCTTCTGTATATTTTTCTGCATTTTCCATTCATTTTCCTGCAGTATAAGAATACTCTTATATTGGGAAAACTTTAAATCTCTTTAGATAAAAAAAGGTAAGGATTCCACCTACCCTTCCTACATTCTAATTGCCCCTTAAAATGTTAGTTCAGCAGGAAAGTTATATATTTAAGGGTCTTATTTTCTGTAAACTATAAACTTCATTTAACTGAAATGACGAAATTTTTTTTTTTTTAAGATTTTTGGGGAATTGGGGGATGGGAACAGCGCTGGGGAATTGGGAGAAGGGGAACAGACAAGTTGCTGTCCTTTTGTTCTTCAGTCTAGCTGTGGAGGACAGTGTCACTGGCCCTCATATGTGGGATCCGAACCGGGGCCCTCTGGCCGCCCAAGCGAGCTCTTAACCAACATTGTCACTCGGCCGGCCCAAGA